ATTTACTGGCATATAACTTTTGAACCAATGTTAGTGCATATTGGCAGAAGACAGACGAAAAGATGGAATGTGGTTTTCAACTGCCTGTCCATCAGGGCGATTCATTTAGAAATAGCTTTTTCTTTAACTACATATTCTGAAATTATGGAAATTCTCAGATTGCAATCCAGAAGAGAAACTCCCAAACAAATTATTTTCAATAATGCAAGTAATTTTCATGGAACGAGGTGGTATTTAGAGGTATGGTTTGGAAATTTATTCCTTCCGGCGCTAGTCACATTTGGAAAAGGCTTATTTGGACAGAGGAGACGACGTTCAAAATCATTCCCGATAGTCAACCGTTGGAAGACGAAGATATTCCTCACATTATTTACTAAAATTGAACATATTAACTCATGATCAGACATTCATGTATCAGTTGACCCTGCAGATTTGGATACTTCAAGTCCTTCAACTCAACCAGACTTAAGAATTGACGATATGGTCATAATAGTTGTTGCGTGTACGACTCGAAATTTATAGAAACTAGGAAAGGGTGTAGCTATTTTTTCTGGATCGGGCGGACGAATCTGCAATGCTGATGTGGAGGCAGCGAAAGTTGTTTACAGAAATGGGTTCCGCCTATTCAACCTTTTACATTTTGATGATTGAAACTGCTATTACAAATTGAATTTCATTTATAGTTTTTCATAGCTCAGAACCTACAAATTGAAGAAAAGAGAATTGCAACTTTCTATGTTTTTTACCACTTTTATTTGTAACTAACGTTACTGCAGTTTCATCCTATAAGGACATTTTCAAACTCATACATTAGTTACAAATGAAAGTGGTGAAAAACATAGAAAGTTTCAATTCTTTTTTCTTATTATGATTTCCTACCACGTAGTAACGGCTACATCCATCAATTTATTGAACCTACAAATGAAATACAATTTTCACCCTCACTATTGAAATTCATGTGATCTGTAGTATTCACATATCAACTGTTTCACACATCAACCCATTTCACCTCTCTCTCTTGTAATCAAAATACGTTAAAAGACCCTTCAAGTGGTCCAGAAAATGTATTCATGTGACTTCTTCATTACATGAGAAGCGGCGGATACGTTATCTCAGGCTACTAGATAATTGTGAATTTTAAAAATCTTTTATGAAATTCTGTAATCTTTTGTAAAATGTTTGACTTCTGATTGTTTATATCCTAACAACTTCAAAGTTGATATGTTACCAATGTTTTTCTTCAAATTCACGATTTTCGTTATGTTATGGTACTTTTGGCGTTTGATATCATAATTTTCGTATCTAGAGATGAAATCTTGTGAAACAAGTACTCTGTTGCATGTCATATGACAGAAAAAGATAACGAGGCCCTTTTGGTTTTGGAATATGATGATTTATGTTTCTTGACATCCAGACGATGTCAGTGATCTCACTTTTGAAGAAATCAGGCGACCGGACATGAATTCAGTTTGTATTTCAAATATTCGTTGTGGAATAAAAATCAGGTATCATTCACATGAATTCTACTTTGAATGAATGGTAGTAAAAATATAACCCCTTCAATTCAAGTAGGCAGACTTTTGACATATGTTACAATGAAATTGGTAGAAGGGACATTTCTCATTCTGTGTTTGGATTTTTTCTCAAGATGAAGCTGTAACTGTTCATTTAAGAAAAAGCGAAACTTAATGTGATCGAATGACTCTAGGCACTTGATAGTGTTTGAATTGTGAGAAAAATAATCGGAAGTACCAAACGAAAAACAGTCCTGTTGTGGTCTGTCCTGAACTCATGAAAAGTACAATTGTGAAGCTGGTTTGTAAAATATCAATGGATTAATTTCAAGTATTTCCTACTACTAGACAATGAGAACAGATTTCGTTCAGAAACTTCCACAAATGTTCATCATGATTTTAGCTAGGTTATATGATTTTTCACTCTCTACACGGGGGAGAGTGCCAAATCACATCAAACCTTTTCACGAACATTCTGTTATTTGGACAAACATGATAAAAATAATTATCGTTTATAGATTTTTAATAAAATGAATATACAACAATGATGTAACAAGGGATCAACGAAAATTAAAGGAAAATCGCGTATCTCTCTCTTAGTGTGTCTATCTCATCGTTTGGGTGTATGTGGGTCGATTAGTCCTTATGTCGATAGAAAAATCAGTCCATTGTCAAAAGAGCTGTACTTGCAAATAAATATCCATGTGTCGGATATTTTTCAGCCGATGAGAAGCTCTATAATTTGATGCTATCGTCTGAACGGACATATTTGTTTCTTTTCGGGTAGAAAATAATGAGAGATAAATTCTGTTTTTTATTTTATGAAAACCGTAAAAAAATTAACGAAATTATTTAGATTTTCCTTTAATTTTCTCCATAGAATAAAGGGTGGTAAAACGTATTTTCATCGTAACTAGCATCAGCAATATACTTCGATCTATCTCCTGAAACCTTTCCTCCACCATTTCCTCCTCCGACTGCTCCATCATTTCCTCCATTTTTTGCAACTCCGTTATTTCCACCCCCATCTTTTTTGGTCCCACCACCGTTGACTGGCTTAGGGGCGGAAGGTGGTGATGTACGTGACTGTTTGCCAGTGTTCTTTGCGATACCAGCTGCGGCTGCCGCAGCTGCAGCAGCAGCGTTAGCAGCTGCCGCTTGGGCAGCGGCTTGTGCTTTCTGGGCAGCTGCTTGGGTGGCCTGGAAATCTATCCTAACCGCTGCCAACTGTTTTCCCAACATTTCCAGTCGATCCATAGCAGATCCAACCATTGCTTGCTGAGCAGCTAACTCACCAGCAGCTTCAGAAGCTGCCTGGGTTACGTGATCTGCCGCTGCTTGGGCCGCGTTCAGAGTGTTTGTCAACACTTGAACATGTTGTCTTGCTTCTATGGCTGCTCTTTGGGTGGAGTCAGCTGCTCTTTGTGCCTGCAAATGAAGAAAGTTCATTCATAATGGGGTCCTCTTTGATTAACACGCAAAAATCAGTAATATGTTTTTCTGAATAACACTCACAAATCATCAGTCAGGTATATTCAATTGAAATATGGTTATATAACTTTTACATGGATGATTTTGCATGCATGGAACAGATTTTTCTGATTGAAATTTTTCATTATTTCATTGGTGATAATAATCGAACAATTTCTACATATACTGGAAAAACTTCAGATGAAATGAAAAGGATACTAAATAAATGAAATATTACCATAGCATATAAGACTGGTTACTCCTTGAATAGACATATAAAAAACAACAAGTCACACATCGACAAGGGTAACAGATCAGGTGTATACAAACTAACATGCGGATCATGCCCAAAAGTTCATGTAGGAAAGACTTCAAGGAATTTTAGAATGAGAATCTCTGAACATTGAAGAAGTTTCGAACTGAAAAAGACTAATTCCACCTATGCGTACCACCTTTTGGAGAACAATCGCGATTTTAACACTTTCTTCGACATATGACATATAGAAAAAAAAAGAAACTGAACCTGCTGGGGTTTCTGTAAATAAGATAGGGCAAACATTAAAATTCCCTATTGAACGGCCAACAAGAGGTCAACCACGGACCATTGTTGAACTTTTTTCAAAGGCCTAAAATATTATTCATATTCAAAATTCACCAAATGGCAAAAAACTGAAATTGTAATTGTTTTACAAATTCCACCTGTTATCTCAAAATTCACCTGCTGTTCATTTACACGTTCACTGACTAATAACCACATGAGTGAGGTAACTTACTGTTGAACACATAATTGTAATATTTATGTACTATTCATTACTACCGATGAAGCTACAGTGTTAGCATAACGCGTAAAGAATTAAAAAAATGTTTATAAAAATTTCATACAAGAATTCAGTGCTTCTTTTTTAAAATTATTCGAAAAGGTTATGTAAATGAATTTGTATTTCATGTAGAATATTGTGTAGCGTTTTTGTGAATAGCATCTGTTTAAATTCCATTCTGCATGTTTGATTACAGTTTGAATAAAAAAAGGTCATTCCAGGGTTCAATATTCATGTATACGAAGGTAGTTGTTGTTGTAGTTGTTTCGGATGAACTTTTCAGTTTTTATCTGAGAGAAACTCTTGTGCATGATTCACACATCTTCATGAAAAGTTTTCATTGGAGTTGAATACTATTCCCACGTTTTCATATACGAGTATTGATGAAGTAGTGGAGAGCCAAAAAATGTTTTCCCTAAAGAGTGATATTCTGAAAAATATTAGAGTAGTTTTGCTATTCTGTGTCATATTTGGCATGGAAACAAAGGTTGTGTCATCATCTCTTTGCCTTAGACTTTTCAATATCTCATTCAGTATAGAGTATATTCTGAAACAGTTAAGATAGTTTGACGTAGGAACAAAAATGCGTGTTGACCTGAATTATTTTGTTACCCATTTCTCCAACCTTACCTGCATCAATTGCTGTTTTTCGCCCATTAGAGCAGTTTGAGCATCTCTATGTTGCTGTTCAAGTCCTTGAAGGAGAATTTGCTTTCCTGCCAATGCGGCCTGAGCAGTCGCTGAAGCCTAAATAATCAAATGAGATACAAAAATTGAAAAATTACTCAAATATAAATCATGATATGTGTCTATTTGAACCAACAACCATCAATCATCATCACTCATAAAATGTAAAAGAAATTATTGAATTTGAGGAAATTTGAAATCCAAAATGAGATATGAAAATGAAACCAATATGACATTTTGTGAAATGAAGGCCATTTCGAAAAACGTCATTTTGGTAATTAATATTGAAATTGTTAATATTATAACGAGTCTGAAACCGCACCTGACCAATAGGCCAGCCGACTCATAGAACAAACACATGACCTCACCTCAAAAAAAAATTAGTACCAAACCGACTACAGAATTCTAGAAAGGACCTTTACCAATATAAGCCCGTCTTACCGACCCAAGAGGGCAGTTCAGAAAGTGAATCGAGCGGCTAAACAAGAATTTCAAATAGTGGAAATAAATTAAGCGTTAGTTGCTAAGTTTTGTGATAAATTAAATTAGTTTGTGATTAGTGAAATATTGTTGGAAATACATTTGTTAATTCAGTAATTTGTCACAAGTGGTGATCAGAAGTGGATTAGTAAAATAAATATGTGAGCGCTTGGTGGACAATCTTTGTATTGCTGTGAAACTGACTAAAAGAGTATTTGTTCGCACAGAGAGACTGGTGATTCGTTGTGTTTTTCGCGAAGTACCGGACTACGGAAATATTAACTGATAGACCCTTCTCGCGAAAAATAGACTTGTGAAAGTAAATAAGTGTTTTCGGACTCGATTAAAATTAGTGTACATATACAGTTTTGTGAAAAATAGTGATTCAGAGAAAAAATGTATTCGAAGAAAGTGCGCCTAGTGAACTTGAAATTCGCCGAATTGAAGCAAGAATAGGGGGAGAGGAAGCTATATTGTTCTGGAAAGAAATCAGTGCTCCAGAAGTGATTATGGGATAACTTCACTGAATCATGAGAAGATCCTGAAACATATTTATTCGAAGTTTCTGGGGGTGATTTGAGCAAACTCGATGAGAATACCAAATCGCTGAATGATGAACTTCAACAAAATTTGGTTGGTCTGGAGGAGAAGCTTCTGGAAAATTCGAAGAGTTAAAAAAAAAGCTTTCAGAGAATTCGAATAGTTTGAAGGAAGAACTTCTAGAAAATGCAGAAGTCTTAAAGAAAGAACTTTGTTATGTGGCGAGTCTACTCGAAGGAAGGATAGGAACCATTGAGACAGAGATAGAAAAAATCAGGAGGGAAATGAACACGGAAGTAGAGGAAATCAAAGAGAAGATCAAAAATGAAATTGGGGCAGAAATGAAGACAATGAAAAAAAATTGGCGACGTAATCAATGGCGGATTTGAGGCAAAAATCAGCAAGATGAAGGTAACAATTAGCAAGTTGCAAAACCAAATCTTTAATTCTGTCCACATTACAGTAACTGTTACCGAAGACTCCATTCCGGAACTGAAAGATGTCAGAGTCAGTGCAGAACCAGGAAAGCTCCCCATGAAGCCGCCCCAGTTCGACGATACAACTCTTTGGGCAAATTACCGCCGACCGATGCTGCTGCCAGAGCGAATGGATGGAATGCAGGAGAAAATGCGATAGCATTAACACTGACGTTGCATGGAGAAGCAACGAATATTTTGCAAACTCTCACGGCCTCAGAACAGAAAGGCTATGACCAGCTTATAAAGCGTCTTGAGCTACGGTATGGGCAGGCCCATCTAGAGCACGTTTACCATTCACAGCTGAAAAACCTTTGCAGAAATTAGAAGAATCTCTACAGGAATTTAAAGCCGACATTGCTCGATTAGTTTGTCTGGCATATGCTGCTACACCGGAAAATGTAAAGGAGCGGTTAGCAGTTCAGGCATTCTTGGACGGACTTCGCGACCAAGAAACGAAGCAGGCCTTGATACTAGCTCATCTCAAATATCTCGTGAATGCACTGGAAAGCGCTGGAGTTTGAGGCTGCAAAACAATCCTGCAAAGGCCAGAGCAAAGTTCGAACTATCGAGGAAGATGGACAGGTGCCTGCTGATATTGAGGCCAACATTAGAAAGGTAATAAAAGAAGTATTGCCTGAGAGAAAATGAGTAAGATGCTGGAACAGTGAAAAAATTGGGCATGTGTGTATCAAATGTCCAGCATTCGAAGAACCAACACCAAATCAGAAAAACTAGAGGGGGTCGATGAGAAGGGGCATTCGTCGGCCTGTACCCAGCAAGCCCCCGTAAAAAACCCAAATGTTGCCATTCTCCAACGACTAGACAAAAGTGTTTTCGTAGACGGCCCCATCAACAACAAACCTTGCACCATGCTGCTGGATACAAGTGCGACGAGAATCATTCTTGGCCAACCTTTGCCAAAACACTGTCAAGAATTGAACCGTCGAATTGAAAGTAACGCAATGCAACAGGGGAGCCAGCCACTGTACTTGGAGAACTACCAACTGTATTGATGTTGAACTGCACTTAATTGAACCATAGTGCATTGGTGGCGGACATCGAGGACGATGCGACTATTGGAATGGACATAATAAATTCCAGAGGGTTCGCGCTGAATTTCCAAGACAGCGTCCTATGTGTCGTTGGAGAAGAGATGGTGCTTCATGTAAGAAGGGAATAGATGATCAGGGTCCTGTTGGCTGAAGACGTGTGTGTACCTGAGAGGACGGAAACCATTCTGGAGGATCGCCTGGACGGAAGTGCGAGCAGCGGAAAGGTGGTAATGTTCGAGTTCAAGATACACGATGAGAAAATTGGACGTGAAATCGCACTGGGGAAGACCTTGTTGCGTGTTGATAAAGTTGTGCCGATCGAGCCATGAATGTCAACTACTTTCCCGTGACCTTGAAGAAAGGAACAATGCTGGGGCACTGTTCGTCCATTTTCTCTGTGATACGAAGTGTACGCAGTTTGATTAGCCAAGTCAACAACTTGCCTGAAGAGTTGGAGAAGTTGACTGACATTTCCTCCAAAGACATACCGCTAACTCACCAATCCAAATTGAGGGAATCAAAAAGTACCAGGAATCTTCGATATTGGAGAAGGAAAAGATGGCATAACGGATGTTGTTCAGCACAGAATCGACCAATTCGGCAATTAGCTAGAAGACTCCCCCTTGCCAAGAAAGAAGTGGCAGATAAGATAGTCAGCGATATGGGAACCTTCTGACAGCCCCTGGTCTGCCCCAGTCGTTTCAGTGAAGAAAAAGGACGGCTCGACAAAGTTCTGCGTGGATTATCGCCAAGTAAATAACGTGACGAAGAAGGACAGTTACCCTCTCCCAAAAATTGACGACACCCTAGGCACGCTAGCCGGCTCCACAATCATCTTGACTTTGAATTTGCAGAGTGGATACTAGCAAGTTGAATTGGCCCCAGAAGATTGAGGAAAGACAGCTTTCACCATCGGCTCATTTTTGTGGTAGTTCACGGTTATGCCATTCGGGCTTTGTAATGCTCCAGCGATCTTCGAGAGATTGATGGAGACGGTTCTCAAAGGGCTCTCATGAAAGAAGTGTCTAGTGTATCTCGACGATATAATCGTGGTCGGAAAATCGTTCGACGATCACTTGAAAAATCTGGAGGAGGTATTCATGCATCTGAGAAGTTCTGGATTGAAACTCAGTCCCAAGAAATGCCATCTGTTCCAGAAAGAAGTCCGTTATCTTGGCCAAGTTGTCTCTAGGGAAGAAGTGGCAGTAGACGAACAAAATATCAAAGCAGTTGAGGATGGGTCCAAAAGACATATATCAGCTTCGGAGCTTCCTTGTTTGTGCACCTACTATCGCAGATATGTCCTGAGGTTTGCCAACATCGTCAAACCATCGACCCGACTCACAGAAGGGCAGATCCAGTTCCAGTGGTCCGAGGAATGCCAACAACTCATTCCAGAAGTTGAAAAGAGCTTTGATCAACACTCCTGTTTTGAGGTATCCCCTACCGGAAGGAAAATTAGTTTTTGATAAGGACGCCAGCAACGTGAGACTTGGAGCAGTCCTTTCTCAGATCCAGAATGGACAGGAGAAAGTTATTCGCTACTTCAGCAAAACGCCGAGTGAACCAGAGCTCAATTATTGTGTCACCAGACGAGAGCTGTTGGCCGTTGTCAAAGGTGTAGAGCATTTTTACAAAAACGGGTATGGAAGAAGACTCCTGTTGAGAACGAACCATGCGCCTCTCAAATGGCTTCTGCAGTTCAAAAATCCTGAAGGCCAAGTAGCGCGCTGGATCGAGAGACTTTAAGAATAAGACTTCGAAATAAACATCGAGCTGGGATTAGCCATAAAAACGCAGATGCCCTGTCACGAAGACCATGCCCTGATGACTGCTCACATGGCCGACGAAAGGACGAGAAGGAAGCAACCATTTGTAGAAATACAGCTGTAGACGACAAGTGGGAGGACAATAAAATCAAGGAAGACCAAGAGAAAGGCCTAGATCTTGGTTTAGTCGTCGGATGAAAAAAAATTAATCAAAGACTATCATGACAGGAGGTAGCAGGTTATTCGCCAGTGGTCCTACTGGGCCCAATGGAACTCCCTCACCGTGGAAAACGAAGCGGGTGTTGGAGTCTGAAGACGGTGGAGAGAAAAAAGGCGCCAGACACTTGATACCCAGGAACAGACGACAGGAGGTGCTCTAAGAAATCCATTTGGTAGTCACTGAAGGATATCTAGGAGTAACGAAGACCTTCCAGAAAGTAAGACAACGGTTTCACTGGGTTGATTGTCAAGCCGACATCAAGGACTGGTGCAGAAAGTGTGCTATATGTGCTGCTAGGAACAGACCTCGTATGCGACCAAAAACACCAATGCGCCAGTATAACGTGGGTAATTCTTTTTGAGAGAATTGCCATCGACATCGCCGGCCCGTTCCCAGAGTTCGACCATGGGAACAAATACATTCTGGTAGACATGGACTACTTCAGTAAGTGGGCAGAAGCCTGTGCCCTGCCCAACCAAGAAGCCTTTACCATCACTGACGTCCTGGTAAAGGAATGGAT